GTGGGAGGTGATGGGGGTAATTAGGGTTTAGGGTTTAGGGGTGCCTGTTTTTGAAGATTTCTGGTACGTCCCAATGACAGGGGCAGCGGCGTGAGTCTGCTTTGGTGTCGGCGTGGTGCTCGTTTTGGGTCCAAACCGCGTTCTCGCCTGAAGGCCCGGCTTGCCCCTCGGAACTCGCGGGGCGGGCGTCCTCCATCGCAAAATGCAAGGTTCCGGCGTCGTCCAACGTCACGCGTCGCGCGCTCGCCGCGGTCTTATGTGCATTCGGAGACCCAGATCGCGCCCCCTGCCCAGGTCCCCCGCATTTCTTGACAGCCCAGTGGTGCCCTTGTCCCTTTTTTCGATTCCAGGTTCCCTATCAAGTACCCAAACCAAAATAGGGTGCCCTTATTGAAGCATGGTTACTTAGGGTTTAGGGTTTAGGGTTTAGGGTTTAGGGTTTAGGGTTTGGGTTTAGGGTTTAGGGTTTAGGGTTTAGGGTTTAGGGTTTAGGGTTTAGGGTTTAGGGCTTAGGGTTTAGGGTTTAGGGTTTAGGGTTTAGGGTTTCGGGTTACCAGGACTCTTTGCGGCTTGAAGGGCTCTTGGGTTCGCTTCACACCAAGTGCGCTCTTGAAGGCAAATTCTGGGACAGCATTTTTGGCTCCCATGTCGCCCCCCGGTCTGGCCTGGATCCCATGGTTTAGGGTTTAGGGTTTAGGGTTTAGGGTTTAGGTCATGAAGTGCAGAGCTGTCGTCGATTTGGAGTCTGCTCGCAACGCGGGTCTTACGTTCGCCGGCAGTCTGGGGAGGACACCAATGGTGGAACTTAGGTCGTGCAGGTTCAGGCGTCTTAACGGAAGGTTCATGAGTCAACCAAATTGATGGACTACATGAACCTCGAATAGTCTGTAGTAGGGATTAGAGTGATTTTTGAGGACCCATGAACCTCGCCCCCCCACCCTTTAGGGGGTGGGGTCTAGGGTTCAGGGTTTCAGGTTTAGGGTTTAGAGTTTAGGGTAAAAAACACTAAGCTCTCAAGCCTGAATTTGACAACATCCGACGCATTGAGTGCAATCCCCTCAGGGCTAGAGACGGGTCTCCTTCCCAGTGCAGGGCTGAGGTTCAGGCTCCTTCTTAATTATAACTGTACTTCTAAGCCCCCTAAGTCCTCTAAGTAGGTGTTTTAAGTAGACGTAGAATCGGGGTCCCAAGCACCCATGAACCTCCAAGTAGGGGCCCTCAGCCGAAGGAAGCGGCAGCGGCCTCGACAGCCTCCGCCGCTGGCAGCCAGCCACCGCGCCAGCAACAGCCACAACCCTGGAGCAGGCGGCCCGGGGATTTTTGGGTTCAGGGTTTAGGGTTTAGGGTTTAGGGTTTAGGGTTTAGGGTTTGGGGTTTAGGGTTTAGGGTTTAGGGTTTAAGGTTTAGGGTTTAGGGTTTAGGGTTTAGGGTTTAGGGGCTGGGTGGCCTTTCCTTTTTTGGGTCTGTATAATGCTCCTATTGCAAAGAAGCGGTTGACCTGTAATCAGCCCCTAAGTGTGAAACCTCACGACACTTGGCCCTAAACCGAATCCCCACGAACAAGCCTCCGAAAAGCCCCCCCCCCCCCCCCCTTCCTTAACAAAAAGGAACGCCCGAAGTTGCCCTAAGCTCCTACACCCACAGAGAGCGGCTTAGAGGCCCCCAGGAGCCTTTGTTTCATTACCGGTTATCATGCCCTCATGATGCGTATACAACCCTAAACCCTCAACCCTCAACCCTAAACCCTAAACCCTAAACCCTAAACCCTAAACCCTGAACCCTCGTCCCTAAACCCTGAGCGGAAGGAAGTGGGCCCCTGCATTTTTTACTGAGCGAAGCCTGCAAGGTCTGTTTGTTTCCGGCAGAAAGCTTGGGAGGTGTTCTCATTTACGGCCGCTTTAGCCCTAAACCCTAAACCCTGAACCCTAAACCCTAAACACCCTAAACCCTAAACCCTACTAACTAAACCCTACTAACCCCTAAGCACTAAGACCCGAAGTTCCCAGGCGCCTGTGCCCTGTGAGCCGGCCCCACCAGCTGAGCCGGCGGCAAAAGCATCGCCCGCGGCGCCGCTACCCAAGGCCGGGATTTAGGGTTTAGGGTTTCGGGTTTGGGGTTTAGGGTTTGGGGTTTAGGGTTTGGGGTTTAGGGTTTGGGGTTTAGGGTTTAGGGTTTAGGGTTTAGGGTTTAGGGCTTTAGGATAGTTGGAAGCAAGTTATCAGATACTATAGTCACCATATCTCAAAACCCTACTTGTAACTACTGACACCCCAAAGTGCTTCCAGGATTTTTAGGGCGGCCGGAATCACAGTTGCTGGTTAGGGTTTAGGGTTTAGGGTTTAGGGTTTAGGGTTTAGGGTTTAGGGTTTAGGGTTTAGGGTTTTAGGGTTTTAAGGTTTTAGGGTTTAGGGTTTAGGGTTTAGGGTTTAGGGCTTCGGGTTTAGGGTTTAGGGCTTAGGGTTTAGGGTTTAGGGTTTTGGCCTTGAGATTTCTGCCTTACCAGTGCTTTCAGTTGGGAACTTAAGCCCTAACCCCTAGACTTAGACCCCGGAACCAAGACATTCAGATTAGATTGGGCCCTGTGGTTTAGTTGCTTAGCGGGGTTTTTGGGGTTTCGTGTTTACTCACCCTAGACCCCAAATCCGAAACCCTAACCCCAAAATCCTGAGAACTCCCTCTTTCTGAGAAAGGAGACCCATCGCCCCTCTGTGATCGACCTCCACCTGCCCAAGGCAGAGGGGGAGATTGTTGAGGGCGTAGTGTTTAGAGGTATAAGGTTTAAGGCTTTGTAGGGTTTAGGGTTCAGGGTTTAGGGTCTGGGGTTTTGGGTTTTGGGTGATTTCCAGATTTTGGAGACGAATCTAGCTTGACTTAGCCCTGCACAACTAAACCGTATTGACGCTTACTTGGAGGCTCATGGTACGTAATAACACCATTATCACTGTACTTATAGACCACTTATAAGCCCTTCCAGTGCCCGAATGTGGCTTTCATTGGGTAAAGCTCTACTTGGAGCTCTAAACCCTAAACCCTAAACCCTAAACCCTAAACTTTTAAGTACCATGAACCTATGGTTGGGGTTATTGCGTACCATGAGCCTCCAAACCACCTTTCAATGCATCGTCTAGTGGCCGCTCTTGCCTTGAGGAGGTGGTGGAACAGAGTTTAGGGTTTAGGGTTTCGGGTTTCGGGTTTGGGGTTTAGGGTTTAGGGTTTAGGGTTTAGGGTTTGGGGTTCAGGGTTTAGGGTTTAGGGTTTAGGGGTTATAGGGTTTAGGCAAGTTTGGACTTTCATAAGGGCTGAGGTCACGAGTCCTACAGCCTTCAGCCGCCACCCCAAGTTGGCGCCACTTCCTGAATCTCGTCCCTTGCAGGGTACTGCCAAGCTTAGGGTTTAGGGTTTAGGGTTTAGGGTTTAGGGTTTAGGGTTTAGGGTTTAGGGTTTAGGGTTTAGGGTTTAGGGTTACCCTCGAGATTTCTGAAGTATTGGCCCTTTTGGGTTCTCTACGGTATGTCGGGGCTACTTCCTCTTGTGCACCGGCTGGGGCAAGCCATGGCTGCCGCTGAAGGTCGTGGGTTTAGGGTTTAGGGTTTAGGGTTTAGGGTTTAGGGTTTAGGGTTTAGGGTTTAGGGTTTAGGGTTTAGGAGGTTTGGCTGTGTGCGGGCGCCTCCTCGATCAGCTCGTCGCCGAAGCGGGGGCGATGGGCGGTCATTCCGCGCAGTTTGTGCCGACCTCTTTGTGGACTCGTGATTCCGCCAACCCTTGCTTGATTCGGATGCGGCTGATTTGGGGGGTTTACGACGTTAGGGGCCTATTTTCGTAAATCTCCATGGCGCAGATTCCCCTCAAGCGGTCTTGGGACTCACCCCGGCTCAGCCTCGCATGATTCTGCTCCGTCTCGCTCCCCTCGCCCCTTTGGGTTGGGTCTGTTCTCGTGCTTTGCTGCCTTCCTACCTCACGAAAAAATCCAAAATCCTTAAGAAGACGCTGCGCCCTATACCATAAACCCTAGGGCTTTGGGCTTTGGGCTTTGGGCCTTGGGCCTTGGGCTTGGGGCTTTGGGCTTTGGGCTTTGGGCTTTGGGCTTTGGGCTTTTTGCTTTGGGCCTGGCGCTTGGGGTGTAGGATCACATATCTGAATTACCAATGGTATTCCCTTATGGTCCCTTTCTAGTTTTACTATAACAACCCCCACCCAAAGCCCTATTCAAATTTATCAGGCTCATATGCTAGGGTGTGTCAGACGCGAAGAGCCCCCACACCACACTACTGCCCTGCAGCGGAGGCAGTGCCGGTTGCGAAGGGGCCACCGGTGCCGAAGGCAAGGGCGGAGGCTCCTACAAGCAGGCGTGGGAAACCCAAGCCCAAGCCCTAAAATAACCCGTCACCCTAAGCCCCAAGCCCCATTGGGGCCAAGGAGGGGGTACTCCTGGCATACACCCAACGCGAATCCTTATGAAAAGTGACCCCCTCCTACGAGAGGGTGAACCCGAACTGTGGGGACCCCATTCAAACGTCCATCCAAGCCTTCTTGGCAAGGTGGCCCTGGGTTTTGTTTCTGCGCAATTTACGAGCAGCGGCTTTGCAAGAGTCCTGAGGCTCCAGGTGTGAACTGGGGTTTAGGGTTTAGGGTTTAGGGTTTAGGGTTCAGGGTTTAGGGCTTAGGGTTTAGGGTGTAGGGAGGTTTCGATTTCCCCTCTCGCCATGTGGTCCGACAGCAGTGGGCAGATCTTCCTGGCGGCATGCACTACGGCTGCCTTGGTCCACGGCCACGTTGTAGGACCAACATCTCCTTGCAGTCTCTGTGTGCTTGCTAAGGAGCTTAGATTAAGTTACCATACAAGGAAAGCATCTCTCAGACACCCTCCTACCCACAATTCGAGCACTTAGTTTACGTTTCTTAACAAGAGCCCAAGAGGACCATCTCTCCGCGGAGCTTGGAAGAATCTGGGCGACTACTGGAAAAGGGACGATGGGAAACATTCTGTGGGTTTTGGAGACATGGAAGAGCAGATGTGGGAGCTGCGGGCTGTCAACTTCCGCTATGGTGCCATGGTCCTTTGCCACCTGGACCTCTTGTGCGCTCTGGTTCTTGTGTGGCAATTTCTGCAATCTCCGTGCGTGTCTTTGGCTTTCCTGCCCGTAGGAAGCATGTGCGTTGCTTGTCAAGCCTTGAGTAAAACATCTCCGTAATCTTGTGTGAGCTGCAGGACTACAGGCAACCCAAACCCTCTAAACCCGGAAGTATCCGGAAGTGCAACCAAGACCTACAGTCTATCCATCTGCTTTGCCAGCGGCCGTTTCTTTGTCATAGTGGGATAACATTTTACATTTTTAAGGGTACTTAAACTCAATAAGAATAAAGTTTTAAATTTTTATTGCTATCCCAACTATGAACCAGGTTTGGCGCCTTCACGAAAGTTCCTTCTCTTCGCGAACTTTGTGCTCGTGCCCTTAGCCAGCCTGGGGGTTTGGAATCCTGAAGAGCCTCTTGGGGGGCACAGTTTGAGCTTGCGTTTAGGGTTTAGGGTTGAGGGTTTGGGGTTTGGGGTTTGGGGTTTAGGGTTTAGGGTTTGGGGTTTAGGGTTTAGGATTTAGGGTTTAGGGTTTTCAGCTTGCCTTTTCTGCCTCAAGTAGACTATTCGCATTTCTTGTCCGCCCTGTTGCTAGCGCTTCATGGTTCGCTTGTTTTTGCTATTGGCTATTGCGAGTACGAATGATATGATTGTCGATTATGGTTACAAGCATCTGTTTTCATGAGCATAAACATGTGATGGTTGCCGAAGCAGTTGGCATTGTTCTTGCTAGTGCCGCTGCTTGTGCTGTAAGCTGCGACATGTTGTTTCGCTGGCTGGGGGCCTTCCTGTTACTGTTCTCCTTCTTCGTCTTCTTCAACTCTTCTTGCAGTTCCATGCGCATTTGCGCATTCTTGTTTTTGCACTTGGCTGTTGTGTTCTTGGTGTCATCATCGCCCCTCTCTCCATGACCGCATTCTTGATTCGCAGCATGTTAACAGCATTCTTGTTCTCAACCTGGTCATCCTCATGGTTGCAAACCAATTAATTACTTGGCTAGTGGTTGCAACAGCGCATGGAGATTTCCATTCCCCAAACCCAAGAATTCTGCAGCATGGTTTGGGGTGCCTCTCAGAAGCAGCGAGCACAGGCACAAAGACGCCGCGGGGCTGCAGTTCTCCCTGGTGGCTGTCGGGCACATGACGGCCGCGGTCCTATACCTGGACATAACCATCTACGTACCCTCCGCTGTCCTGCACACCCTCGTCAGCATCGCAACCTTCATCTACTTCAGAGGCAGCTCTCAGCTCAACAGCGCCGTGGTCTTCTGCCATGTGGTTCAACTGCTTATGCGCATCATGGTCCTGAGTCTGATCGAGATGGCGGTGCGCAGCTATCTCGGGTCCAACCAGAAGCTGGAAGAGGCCCACTGCATGATTGCAGGGTTCCAGCAGATCTTGAAAGGGATGTGCGACGGAAGCCTCCTTCTTGACGAGCAGCTCCGCGTCCATGGGCCCACAAGCTCCTAGGACCCGGAGTTAGGCCCTCATTTCCTTTTCTTTAAGGGTTGGGTTCCCTTCTCAAATCCCCTTAAGACATAAAAAAGGGTCCACTTTTTTGATTCCTAGGTTCCTCCTGGGTCTAGTAGCCCTAAACCCTAAACCCTAAACCCTAAACCCTAAACCCTAAACCCTAAAGCCTAAACCCCAAAACCCTAAACCCTAAACCCTAAGCCCTAAACCCTAAACCCTAACCCCTAAACCCTAACCCCTAAACCCTAAACCCTAAACCCTAAACCCTAAACCCTAGGCTCCTTGCAGCAGCTGCTCATGGACCGGAAAGACTTCGCAGGCATCGACTTCGAGTCGCTCATCATGGATGCCCAGGGGAGGGAGCAGTTTGCTGCCTTCATCCAGGCCGCTTAAGGGTTTAGGGTTTAGGGTTTAGGGTTTAGGGTTTAGGGTTTAGGGTTTAGGGTTTAGGGTTTAGGGTTTAGGGGTTTAGGGTTTTGGAGTACTACACTTTAGGTACTTTTTTGGGTTTCTGGGATGGTGCGGTCCTATGTTGTAGCTACTTATACCTAAAAAGTATATACTTCTTTTGCCGGGTCTACTCCAAAGTAGGTTTTTAAACTTTCCAAAGTGGCCAGTGGCCCAAACACCCCGAAGCAACGAAACCCTGAAGCACCCCGGAACAAAATCGATTATACCTTAGATTGCCTTCAAAAGCCCTGGATTCTAGGCTAGGCTTGACGATGGGGGATGCGAAGGCGTCGAAGCCCATCCGGAACCCGGGTTTAGGGTTTAGGGTTTAGGGTTCCGCAGCCTAAGCCATCGAGGCCTCCTGTGCAGCTGCCGGGGAGCCCGCAGCGATGTCGGCGCCCTCTTGCTTACGGCTGGCTCTCAAATCTGGCTCCGGTGGGATCGCTGCTTTCTCCAGTTAGGGTTTAGGGTTTAGGGTGTAGGGTTTAGGGTTTCGGGTTTAGGGTTTAGGGTAAGGCGAGGAAGTCCGCGCTCCTGAAGTCAAAAAAGCTTAGACGCTGGTGGGTGGTTCAGGGTGTCGTTCTTTAGTGCTCAGGGGGTAAGGTTTTGGGTATACTGCCTCTGCGGTTGGTTTTGATTAGTGTCGCACGGTAACCCTGAATGTGAATGATCCCCGAACCACAGCACATTTTGGGAACCCCTTTGTGTCGGCTCCGCCGCACATCGGGGAAACCACCTTAGAACGCCGTGGCCTGTTCACCATTTGGCTCAAGTAACCCCTAGAGTGAAGGTCACCCATAGGTTGGAAGTAAGCGCAATAGCGTAACTGGAAACCGCCCGGGTGCACGAGACGGAGACTGAAGGCGAACATCAGTGCAGAAAACAAGTGCGAGACCATTTGGCTGGTGAGGAGCCAAAGCGTAGTGCAAGCAACTACCCGACCTCACGCAGGTTATCAGCCGTATAGCGGTTGCGACTTGCGACTACTGTACGGGCTGAGCTATGGCACTGCCAACCTCGTCGTCGAGTGCCGACACAACCATGACCTTCGGTGATGGTGATGCTATTGCTGCACCTGCATTGGGCGAAAGCACAGGCTGCGCCGACACAGATGCGGTTACATCATCAGATGATGCCGTTGAGCTGGTCGCGGTTGCGAAGGCACCCGCACGAACCAGAAGTGGTTTGAGCGTACTGCGTGAAGATGGAAACTCGAAGATGAGTCAAGTTTCACGCCTCAGATCCACTTCCAGACAATCATCGGAACGAACATCAAAGAGATCCAACACTCCAAGTACTCCACGACGAAGAAGAGGCACTTCTCCACGAATCTCTCCACGATCCTCGCCGGACGCCGGACGACCGGAAACGTCACCGCGAAGAGGGTACGGTGGCCCTCTTTTGGGTACCGGCCTCCCCAGTTCGGAACCTCCGGCTGGCGGTAGGAGCGGGCTTGATTCGGGTCCCCCGGTTGAGTCTGCTAACCCTCTAGCGGAACGAATCCGGGAAGAAGGCGAAAGGCGGGAAATGGGAGAGGTCATTGCCATGTTGCGACTGAAGATCGAGGAGATGCAACAGGAAGACTATGGGGCATCACTCAGGATCGAGCAGCTAGAACGCGAACGTGATCAGAACGCGCAACTGGCTGCTCATATCCATCAACGTCACGAAGCTACACTCGCTGAACGTGAGCAAGTCGTTGGTGCCACGATCGCAACGCTGGAGCAACATGCTGCCGACAATCATCACCAAGCGACGATGACTCAGGAGCAGTTGATGCACCAGCAACGCGAGATGGCGCAGTACATGGTCAACGTGGAAGAAGCGGCCCATGGTGAAGGAAACACGATAGCTCGAGAATATCAGCGACTTACAGAGGAGCTGAACATTCGAGCACATGAAAATCTGAGAAGGCGAGCCGATCTACAACAAGCCGAAATCATTGTGGCCCAGATGGAAGATCAGCTGCGAACCTCCGAGTTTGCACGTGAAGCATCCGAGAAGCAGAAGAGCGAGATGCGAGAATATGCTCATCATGAGAGCGTGGCATTGCAGGATGAACGCGATCAGACCAGGCTCTTGAACGTGAACATTCATGGCGTCATCGTTCAGTACCACGAAGAAGAAGAAAGAGCAGCTGCTTTGAGACAAGCTGTGCACGAAATGGAGCAGCGATTGGAAGGCCAACATGCTTCGTTGCCTAGCATCCATGAGGAGCTGCAAAGGGTACGAGCGGAATGCCAATCTCATGAGGACGTCAATCGACGACTGACATCGGAATTGGATGCTGCGAGACAGGTTCAAACGTACAACCGACCTACGTCAGCCGGAACGTCTGAGTGGGATAATGTTTCTTCAGTGCCTAGGGTAGGTGTGCATAATTCGCGTCCACAAAGCGTTCAATCCCGTTCAGGAATAACCCAAGCTTACAGCAGTCCGGAAGAAGTTGATCGTGATGTGCCAATGTCATCTACGACGGAATCGAGGTTCAAGACATGGGTCCAGAACACCATTCCTGGGGTGGGTTCGGCTTCGCCGGCTCATTCCCAGGGTGGAGATGCCTCAAAGGAGGGTTCGGGTCCCCCGGCTCTTCCCACGAGGCCATCGTTGTTCGGAGGACCACCTATTCCAGTGGCAGAAAGCCGACCGACTTCTACAAGGACATCGTTATTTGGTGGACCTCCCGTTCTCGTTCCAGAAGTACCATCAGTTCCCAACCTGGTTCCGGGAAGGATGTTCACGACAGGTTTGCTGGACTTGCCTCCTGGCTTGGCTACCAGACCACACACCTCACAGTTACTTGCTGATCCACCTACGGCGTCCACGTCCTACCAGTGTGTGCGGCAACCATCGCGTTCGCGGCATACGGGCGAAGTCACGCCTGGAATGGCTTCAGAAATTCCTCCGAATGCTCCCAATCATCCTCAAGATCCTCGCGCAAACGCTTCGACAACTGTTCAGCAAGAAGCTTTACGAAGGCAAATGGATGATCTTCGGGAAGAAATGAGCAGAATGAGAGACACCGAAGCTCGTCTTCGTCGTGAACGAGGTCAATGGCGTACAATTGCTGAAGAACAGGAGCAAGAGAATGAGGGTGAAGAGGGAGAGAACGAGGAGGAAGGCGAACCAGAAGAGGACGGAGACAAAACAGACCCCGGATCCTGGAAGCCAATCAAGAAAGGAGGTGGAGGAGGTGATGGTGGTGGCAATCCAGACTCTTCTCCCCACGGTGGTGGTGGAGGAGGTGGCGGTGGATCTGGACCCGAAGATGGACTTGATTACACCGAAGGGCCAAAGATATCCCGAAGAGAAGCCGACAAGATCAACATTCCTGCGTTTCCCAAGGTCACTCACTTGGACGCTTGGCAGGCAGCAGTCACCACAAACGTCCTGGCCGCGTGTGCGGATACCAATCAAAGCGACTGGATCAAATGGCTGCAAGAGTCTTTCAAGCCGATGCCGGATGTTGAAGGGCTCAATGACTCGGGACATGTCAAGTTCAGAAGCATCGACGTGAAGCTGGCAAGTGCGATGACTCTCATGTTACGGAATGCTGGAGATCAAGCAGCCGATCTGTTCTTGGAAGTGAACCTCAAATCAAACGCGTACATTCGCGGGAACGAGTACAAGGTTCTGAAGGGACGACAGATCATTGCTATGATGATGGAAAGCTTCCGCACACGGGATCGCCTTGACATGGTTTACACGATCGATTACCTGACCAAACTGCAGTATCCTGGGGACAACAAGATTGCCGCATTCAAAGCAACGTGGCTAGAGATCATCTCTCGGATTCGACCTGAAGATGTACCTTCCACGAATGCCCTCCGCGACATCTTGTACCAGAAGATATCAGGATCCTCCGAGATGAACATGGAGCTCAAGCTTTACTATGACATCAAGAGCTATGACGATCCAGAGAGATCACATGATATGCTGCTGAGGATCATGGACCGGGCAGTGCAGAGGAGAAGAGAGAAGAAGAACCTCAACGAGACACAACATGGTCTGAACCAGATGGTTGCTGGGAAGGACCTGCTTGCTGCACCAGCTAGGCCCGATCCCAAAGGGCCTCCCTCATCCGCGCCAGACAAGGACAAGAAGAAGAAGACGAATGAGAGAGGCAAGGACAAAGAAGCTGCGGATGCTGCGCCTGTACTCCCAAAGAGTAAAGCAAAGGCACACGAAAAGGACAAGAAGAAGGGGAAAGGTAAAGGCAAAGAACGATCCCGATCTCCTTCATCATCACGATCGCTGACCGACAAGGAAAAGGCGAAGATTCGTTGCAAATTTCACTTCGGAGGAGGATGCAATGCAGGAAAGAATTGCAAATGGAGTCACAAAGATACGGACAGAGGACGACCGTCTTCACGAGATGATAAGAATCAGAGAGCGCGAAGCCCGTCATCAAAACCATCGGAACGACCTTGCTTCCAGTGGAGCAAGAACGGATCCTGCAGCCGAGAGAATTGCCCTTTCAAGCATGACCCGGCTAAGGCAGCGCCCGCAACCGGGGAAACCGACGCGAATGCGAAGGCAAAAGCAAAGGCGAAGGCGAAGGACAAGAAGAAGAAGCCTGAACCTGCCGCACCCGCGATTGCGATTCGAGGTCTGCCTGCAGTACCTGTTCTTCGATCCCTGGGTGATGGTGACGGTGATTCTGACGACGAGTCAATTGATGGCGACGCGGCGTCAGATTGCTCCACCGACGATGAGATCGGATCCTATCACAGAGACGTCAAGGACCTCAAGGTTTCCTTCGAACGGGGAACGAAGTTCGCGTCATCGAAGCCGAGGCGATCACACAAAGATAGAGGATTCGCCCCGCGACTTTTTACAGAAGCGAACCTGAAGCACGAGAACCACATCTCGGAGGTCGAGTACGAGAAGCACAAAGCAAGAGCTAGGGCTCGACTGATGGAAGATATGTGTCTGGGCAAAGATGGAGGATGCATACCAGTTAGGATTCCAGGAACCGAGAAGGTGATTATGTTCAAGTTCGACAACAAGAAGGGGAAGTTTCATGAAAGAGCCTTGAGCGTTGATGAGAGTCGTAAGGAACTGATGAAGAACCCGAACATGTGTATGGTCCAACCAGAATTTATTCGCAGGAAGCTGAAATTCATCATGGACACAGGATGCGGACATGACCTTATCTCTCTAGAAAAGGTCGCCAAGCACGGCATCGACACTGCAATGGATTGCGAATCTACATCGTTCCAGACGGCGAATGGTGTCACTATGACCAACCAGACGGCGGAATTCTTGACGAAATCCTTCAAGGAGCCCATCAAAGCACATGTATTGGAGAATACACCTTCTGTGCTGTCAGTTGGGAAGAGATGCATGCTTCACGGCTATTCCTTTGTGTGGCCCGCGGGACGTCCACCATTTATGGTGAACGATGCTGGCGAGAGGATACAATTCTTCGTGCAAGGAGACATCCCCTATGTCAGAGTGG